CTGGCGGACGCCCTTGGTAGCTGACCTGGGTGGTACATCTGTCAGCTACAGGCCTGGTTCAGATGGTCGTATGCCATGTGCTCCATCTAAAGACTCTCACTGAGCGCCTTCGCGTATACCGTCGCTTATTCTTGCAAACACGACGTGGCCCCACTGGTGATGGCACGGCGGGTAGTATCATGTTCTAGTGGGTATGTCCGTTCAGTTGCATCTCCCATGCTGAGTGCCCATCAATTCGGAGAACCTAATTGAGTCTGGTAACCCGATCATACGGATCAAGCGTTTCTCCGGGCTGCTTATGACAATCCATGGCTGCGATTTCTGAATTGGGCACCCTCGCGGTCGGCTTAATTCGTTTGGTGAAATGTTTCCTCCGGCACAAGGCGCGATGCTGTTCGTTGCAGACCTAGGACAGAGGTGTCGAGCCTGTACAACCATACACTCCTCCTTGCAGAGAGATAGACAGAGCGGGAGAAATTAAGACAGAGAGCTTTCGTGCTGATAGCCTCTAGACTGGCTGGCTAGTCTATCTTGGATACAGGTGGACGTAACACACGATTCTGTCGTTTCTGTAGTCTTGGATTCTTCAGCAACAGACTGGTCTATCACGCTGTATGGGGTTCTTCACGGAGTATCTAGCTAGGAAATCGTTTGTCAGGGGAACCAAGTACGTTTTGGATGCCGTCCCTTGAAAACTCTGTGTAGTTTACTCGAGCTGCTTTTTCTTGTATGGAGTGGGTGCTTCCAGGCACATGTTATCTTAGGTTTGAGGTTATTTGGAGGAGTTCGTCGCTGCTATTTGCGCATCACTTTTCTAAGAGTAGATGTGAGGTTCACTTTTTCATCAACTTTTGGGGTCTTTCATTTCCAGTAGTAGACTTTCTAAAGCATGTTTTGGTTATTCAATGCCACGGCAGGGAGGGTTTTGGATAGAGCCTCGTCTACGAGACTAGGTTTCTGTATATCTGTGTTCTGCTCGAGAAGATACCTTGAAGACCACTGCTCTTGTTGTATCTGACTGCGAATCAGAAGATCACTGTTTTGTGCCCTACTATGGTCGCAGAAAGGCCTTTCAACCATACCGTGCAAGAAGACTGAAAACGCAGAGAGAAGGATACCGAAAAACAGAAGAGGCAAGCTTTCCAAACGCCAACGCCAACCACTCTCAATTACCTCCAGCAAAGACATGCCCAAGGAGAGCCACATTGACTTGTTGCTCCGAACTGAAGACCTTGTCCCAAGCTCGACTCGGTTCCACGGCCACCAGGATAGGATATCTTCCAATGCCCCAGTCCACTGGGTTTGAAGATAAAGCATGATGGACTTCGTCGCCTCGCGTACCATTCTTATCTGTGCATCGAGGTCCGCTAGGTCTGGATTTGCGTCTGGTCATTTCCTTTGTCACAGTTCAATTCATACATCTCTAACACAAGTCGCAACCTGACGCGACGGCTGGCAGTAGTAGGGGTATGACTTCAAGAGCAACGGCCCTTCCATACGTACGTCGCAGCCTCTCGCTGGACACCCAGACCTTGCATCAGAGTCTTCACCAATCATTCCCTCACCTGTCTGCTTCATGCTTCTGTCCGCCACTTCCCTCTCTGAACGACGTACAAGTCGAGGCACATGCTCGACTCGGAAGACGCACGCAGAATTCGTGTCGACCTTCCCTCCCTAGACAAGTGCTCCTGCATGATGAAAGCCTCAGATCGAACCCGTTCGTTCGCCCGTTCACAGCCATGTAGCCACACCTCGATCCAGCATCCCATGTCCATTGGCATCAGAGACACGCCAGCACTGCAGTCCTTGGCCGAGATTGACCGGCCGGTCGAAAACGACGCATGAGCGCACGACAACAATATCAGACAAAGCACCCCCCTCCCCTTATCCAGCATCCCAGGGGCGGGGGCATGATACCACCAAACAGGCAGGAACCCAACTCGTTCGAAACCCATCTAGTCCGCAATCTCCATCAGGATTCCGGGGGCCAGCCACCCTTCGCCTCAAAAACACCGGGTGAAGGACAGTTTTCCCCTCAGACACCCCCAACCTGGGGAGGTGCTTTGCGCATAATCACCATATGTGTGGCCCATCTCCGCTTTTGCCAAATTTGACCTCGGAGGCCCCCCCGAAGGCTTTTCCCCTGCCGGCAGAGGCGCCCGTCTCCCCCGGTCTCGCGACTTGTCCCTTTTCGCCATGAGAAATCACTTCATCTCGAGAGCAGTGCAGTCGTACTACATCACACAGAAGTGTCACCACGCCTTTTTCCCTCTCTGACGTCATCATGTCGAGCGGCAGTGATCTTTTCGCCCCAGCCTTCTTCATCCCACGCAGCCCTACGTACCTAGGTCCCTATCTAGGTCCCTACCTAAATCCCTACCTAAATCCCAACCTACCACCTGGGCTTGCTTGGTAGTAGTAGTACGTGGCCAGACCGTCCTCCTTTGTTCCACGCCCCCACCACCACCCTCCTTCCGCTGCCCTCCCCAGACTTGTTCCCATGCCAGCGGCTGTCCCGCGCGCCGTCCCATGTCTCACCTTACGTGCACCCCGACAGCCGATAGGTGCGCCCATCCTGTTTGTTCCCCTCTCTCCCCCTTCCCACCCACCCCCCCCGCCTCTCCGGTGCCGAGCAGACAAAGGAACAAAAGGGTGACGGGAAAGGGTCAAGCAGGAACCGCTCGTTTCCCAGATCTAGGGTTGCCATCAGATGTGCAGACAAACAGACGTGAGATGTGAGGAGCGAGACACCAGGCGGCAAGCGATAAACGACGAGCCACACACCCATGCCACAAAACGTCGCAGTGGCCAGCGCCGCCCCTGAGTGGTCCATCTCACGGCCGGTGCCCGAATCCGGCATGTCCTAACGAACTAAACTTCATGGAGTTGATTGTTCGGGTCACCAGCCGCACGCATGCAATGGCCGTGCAGCAAGCGAGAAGAAGAGCAAACCTCCCAGTACAGACGGACCCGGCTACCAGGGAGGAGACGAGAGAGATAGTGAGAGAGAGAGAGAGAGAGACAGGGAGACTGAAGGCGCGCGGGCCCTTGTAGGGGAGTCTCGCTCCCTCTCTCGTCTGCCTGCAAGGTGTGGAAAAATCACGGCACACGCCCCTCTACGCGCCGAACAGGATCGCCTTGCATCCTCCCTCTGGCCCCCCTCCACGCAACGACCAGGACCCAAAGAACAACAGAACATGAAGAAAAGGCCAATGGAACGGCTCGAGATGCGCGCAATGCGAATCAAGGCGGGGAAGCAGGTGGCCGATTGAAGATGAAGGGCAGAAGAAAAGCCTCCCCAATCAAACAAGCGAAATACGACCCCAGGGTCTGAAACATGCCGTCCCGAAGCTCACCTCCCACCTTCCTGCAGCCCAAACGGGGAGAGAGAGAGAGAGAGAGAGAGAGAGAGAGAGAGAGAGCCTCTGGCATGCCCAAGCAGCCTAACCCGAACGGGAGTAAACGTAGACGAGGGAGGCAGAAATCCAACGTCCAAATGGCGGCACAGAAATTGCATCCTCCTGCGGAAACCGGTTTCGGCAAATTTGGCACGGCAGCAAATCAAGGGTGCGCAGTGAATGATCAGTTCAATGTTGATAAATCTCTGCTCTCAGCGCAGGCTATCGCAATACATGTCCGAAGGCGGCGAGACGGGCACAACCCCCAGGCCCGGCCCAAGCTGTTATCCCCCGCCTCGCCGCCTCCCTCCTGGTGCGAACGTTCAACCGCGCCCGCTCGAAAAAAGGCCGACAAGCACGCCTCTCCAGACCCCCTCTCGCACCCGAGACAGGGGAATGCTGCGTCGGCTGCTGACTCTGTGCTTGTTTTTGTTTTCTGAAGTGTTGCAACAAAATGCTGTCGTCAAGCCGCCCCCTCCCTCCTTCGCACTGCTTCTACAGAACCATGAGATAGAAGAGCTGGACAAGGGGAACCAAAGAAGAGAAGACAAGTAGAAGGACCTAATAGGTACAATGAAGAAAAGAAAAGACCCTATGGTATGATGTGTTCGAATTCAAATTGAGCGCTTGCGACCCGAGACTGGTCAAAACCGAAGCGTTCCGCCCCTCAGATGCCCCGTTGCCGGCCCGCCTGCCTGCCTACTCCCTAGATGCGCTGATCGAAAGTCCCCAAGCTGAGATCCTAACACCCTTGTCCTGTAATGATGTTTCTCGAATCGAGAGTCGGAGAAGCGCCCCCTAGCCCGCTGGGGGCCAAGAAAAAAAGAATGGAAACGAAAAGGCGGCCATCGAGACCCATGAGGGTTTGTCGAGTGTTGAAAGGTAAGAATAATGTGCACCCGTAGAATCGAAAAGTGTCGTCACGGTCGTATCCGAAAAGAAAATGCCCCTGTCAACGGGTGTGTCGCGCTCAGCCCTGGAGCTGAAAAAAATCGCCGGTTGGCCTATCTGCCATGTCCTGGCTGTTCATTGATCGCCTCGTCTCGCGTGGCTACCGATCCTGCGGATCATCTCCCATGCTGCTCGGGACTGCTTCTTCTGCTACTGACGTTATGTCCTTCCTCTTGATGTGATTGCTGCTGCTGCTGCTGCTGCTGCTCCTGGTGATGTCGCTGGTACTCTGCCTGCCGCTCCTGATCCTGTCTTGTCTCCGCCGAAGAAGAGGAAGGGTACGTTGACGCGTACGATGGCTCTTCCGATAAAAGCGACGAGACTGAATGGCCTCCAGCGATGCGGTTGACATGATGTTGTAGAGATGGTCCGGTCGCCATTGGGGACGAGGCTCTGGGGGTTCCCGAACTCTCGCCGTGGTGGAGTCCGCCCATTCTGTACGACGGTTGGTCGCTGCCCCTCCGAGAATGCTGACCCCGCCGCCGACTGGGTGGTGGGTTGCTCAGCGTCGCACCGGGCTTGAAGAGAACGGGTGGAGATCTGAATCGATGCTGCTGGTGGCTCGGCATCGGGGCGGCCTGCTGCGGATCCGTTGCCTTGCGCTTGTTTCTGGGAGACTCTCCTACTTCGCCTCGACAAGCCAGGGTTAGCTTAAAGCGAATCTCGCTTTCTCTTGCTCTTGTTGGACGCACCAGATGGTGTCGCCGGCTGATTTGAGCTTCCGGCTTGGGAGGTGGGCGGTTGCCAGTGGTGGAAGTAGATGCCAGGACTCTGTTGCTGCTGCTGTGATTCTTGTTGGCCTGATAGTTGCTGGGATGGCGCGTGTCCGCCGTGGATGTGCCCATGCATTGACGACTGCGACTGGCCTGCCGGTGGTGCTCCCGTGTTGAGACTAGGCAGGTTGGAGCTGGGGCCGACTGCACGTCCTGTTGACCCTGTTGACGACAGGGTCTGGGCTCTGCCTCTAGTCTGAGGTGACCCAGGGTAGGCAGCATAACCGTGAGGACCAGGCGCTGATACTGGTGTCGAAGGCACCCCCGTGTAGGGACCGTACCCATGCGATTGCGAGTCTCGCCTATGTTCAGGTGACCGCTGACCGCCTTGGGTAGACATGAGTTGAGGATGCGCTCCGTGGCCCTGCGATGCGATGTACTGCTGCGCAATGTCTAACGCCGTGGGTGATACAGCTCCCCCCATTCCGGCAAAAACGAGAGGTACAATAGGCGGCGGGATACCGCCTTGAAGCGAAGTTCGCAGCATGTCGGCCTCTATCCTTCGCTGCTCAAGGCGCAATGACTCCTGCTTGGTCCTTTCCTCTTCCTGCTTCCGACGGTCCTCCTCGGCCTTGGCGGTGAGCCAGCTTCTCATGGACTCCTCGGCACCCTGCCACTGCGGGGGTGGACCTGGCAGCTGGCCAAGATGATGGTGGGCATGGGCGGATGACGACGAGATGGACGAGCTCAGACCGGGTTGCGAGGCTGGCGGTAACGGAGGCGGCGGAGGGCCTGATGCGCTGCTGGCGTGAGACTGCTGAGGCGGCAGTGTCATTGCAGCCGGCATCGGCAGCCCGCGGTGCGGTGCGGACATGAGATGCTGGTCCGGAGGGCTGTGGCTGCGAGGGATGGACGGCAGCCTCTTGCGGGCAGGCTCTTGGTAGGCCAGAGGAGGTGAGAGGCGGGATGTAGAAGGCGGAGTCGGAAGGTCATGGACGGACTTGTAGCCGTAGTGTACTGGCTGCTTGGCTGTGAGCATCGTCATGTATACTTTTGGTAGGTGGTGCGACTATGGCTGGAGCCTCTGGTTGGGCAACATGGGAGGAGAAGCAATTGTCAAGGCAGGGTTGGGCAGTGAGACCGAAACAGAGGGGAAGGGAAGGGGGGAAAAAACAAAGGAAGAGATAGTAGCTTAGAAGGTGAAGAGTAGGGTGGTGGGAATAACCTTTGGAAGTGCAAACCTGGAGAGGAACGACCGGCTCAAGTAAGTAGATGTAGTACGCTGTAATGACCGGATGGGCGGGGCGGATGGTGATGAGCTATCTCCACGAGCAGGCCCAGCCCTTCATCTAGTCATGGGTACAGACGGGTACAGAGTACCGGATGGACACACAGGCATGCCTCGAGAGCTCGCCAAGGTAGTAAGGGGAGGACACCCGACGTAGGGACGGGTCGGGGGCTCCAGGTCTAGGTCCAGGACAAGGTCCAGGTTCAGGGACGTACACCAGAGGTACCCGGGAATGGAGCCGTAGTGAGGGCAGCGTGCTCAAACGGTAGCAGTCGTGGGAGTAGTATTAGTAGTGAGTAGTAGCAGCACCAAGAACGAGACTCTGGGGGCGTTGAGGGTGGTGTCCGTTGCCTCTCTAGCCCGGCCGGGGTTGTCGGAGGGGGAGGGGGTGTCGTCCACAGGGAAACCTGGTAGTGAGATGAGTGGCAGGCAACGCGTGGGAAGGAGACGACGCAGCAGCGAGCCTCCAATGTACCCTTGTACCGCTCTGCACAAGAGAGAAGAACCGCTCAGCCCAAGCCGTTGCTTGACAGTTTAGACAAGGACCAAAGGGGAAAGGTCGATGGCCGTGTGGAGAAGCCGGACGGCCTGGTGTATTTCAATGACAACCAGCGCGTATCAGAAGAGATGACTTTGGAGGGGAACGGACACGGGGGTGTGTGTCCAAGCCGGAGGGGGGTGACGGAGGAGAGAGAGGGGGGCGGTCCAGGGGTGTGGTGTGTGGCCGTGGCGGGGCCTTTGCCAGAGTGTGACCAGGTGTGGCGAAGGTCTGAAAGGTTGATTCGAGGATCTGGGATGGGCAGACCTTGAAACTTGGATCTTGAATCTTGCGCCTTTCCTCCCTCTACGTTGGGATTAGTCTGCAGGAACGGTCAGATGAGAGAAAGGAGAGAGAGAGGAAGAGAAAAAGAGAGAGGAAAAAAAAAACTCTATCTTTGACTCGGCAGAGGTGGTGAACAATAGTTGCCAGCTGGGTTTCGCCACTATGGCTCGACGAAACGGGGACTTACGAGTCGCCATTTTTTTTTCTTTCTTTCTTTGCCTTACTTCTTTGACCAACCCCAGAAGATATCAACCTGGACAGTGGCTGAAGGGCACTGGGGCTCTAGAACCTACTCGTAAGGAGCAGCCAATGCAGCCACATTCGAGGGTATGTGTTGCTTGGATGTGCGGGTATGTGATGTGGAGGCTAAGGCACCTAGCCAGTAGTCAGCCCGTCGACTTGCAGGTAGGATGAGCCCGCCTCAAGCCCGCGGCTAGGACCAGGAGCCACAGGTGGTTTAGGTAGGGGCATAGCAGCCCTATCTCATTGACCGGCATCCCTTGACGACTCCTAGCAGCCTATGGTCTGCATTCTCTCGACAAAAGTCATGCCGTTGATTGTCAGAGCGGTTGAGAAGACCAAGCAGTACAGATTCTGTCATTCGCCGCGACAATCGGTGCAGCGAGGGAGGACTCCATTAAGCCCCCAAGGAGCAGCAGATCGACAACATCGGAATGTTCTAGGTGCGGGACTTGTGTGGAGACTGAGACTCGAGGGCCGATTGACGAGGCACGTTGGCAGGGATCGGGTTGACTGCAACCTTTGGACCAGAAGCACAAGTTCGTCCAACTGCCACAAACCACCCACATGGACACATGCGCCTCTTGCCCAAACGAGAGCATTGCCGAGTGGTGGGAGGGCGTAACGGCCGGCCTGTACACAACACGATCCTGTCGACGTGCGCGTGCCTCTTTCCGTACCAAGTAGAGTTCCATCCCGACGCGTGAAGCTGGGGCTGCTGTGGCTGATCAGCTTGTCGATTTCTCAGTCTGGCTTCCACCCACGTTGAGATTGAGCACCCCTCCCGGCCCCCTCCTCTTGACCCCCCTTGCACAGCGCCCCCCCCCCCCCTACCTGCCGGTCCTTTTTGGTGGACACTCATATCACGAACAAAGTCGGTTGGACCAGCCACATTGGGTTTTGTTACGGATGTGGCCTTGGAATGAGGACCAATCTTGCCGAGTGTGGGCAGAATAACACGGTCAAGAGGCACAGACCAAAGATGCCTCTCACGAAAGCTTGTGAGGCCAGTTGTGCAGGTTGTGTGGCGTTAGAATAGCTCCATGACTCGATGCGCTCGCTGCTGGTCACTCAGACTGCCATTCAAGCCAGTCCGAACAGTATACCAACACTAAAATCGAGTAGTGTGTACGGCTCTAGCCGTATCGAACGACGATCCATGTCACCCTCCCAGCCTGCCTCTGGGTGGCGAGCAGAAGACGCGGATCTGATGTCGAATCTGGTCGACGGCGTGTCACCAACGGCGCCTAGCAGGATATCCTGGCCTGCAGAGCGTCACCCACCACTTCGTCACCAGAGAGAAGGGATCGGAATTTGGAACATCGACGGTCAGAAGGCAGTCATTCAAGCGCCAGAGCTGGCACGCGCCGCAGTGCTATTGAGACAAATAGTCATCCCTCAAGTTGTATGGGTAAGGTACGGGGTCCAGTGAAACGTGAGACGAGCGATGAGGTGTTTGGAGCTGGGGCCAGCTCACCTCGTCCTCCGACTTCTGAGTCTTTGGAGGACCATTTGGGTGGCTCTGCTAGGTCAGGCTGGCCTTATGCAGCATGGTGAAGCACACAGTCCCGGCCGCGCCTCCGATCAAACAAAATTTGGATCCATCTTGAGGCAGGGAGACATCTTTCTTGAGCAACCTTCCCAAATCCTGCTCACTCACACGTTACTGTTCACTCAGTCGGGCGTTACGCCAATGGCCGTTCGTTGTCGCTATTCGGTGGCTCGAGTCACCGAGGCTGTGGTGTCGCAGCAGTTGACGCATGCTTCGGGGGCCGAAGTGTAATACCCAGTGGACGCATGCTGCGTAGTCCGTCCTGGAACCGGGCAGGCTGACGTACGTCCAGACACGGAATGTATTAGCGCGGCTCGTACTTGTCTGTCTATCCATGGTGGTGCATGAGTGAGGCAGAAGCCGTAGACCGCACATTTGAGTCTCCAGGGGATGGCGATTTCCAGATCAAAGCCATTGTTCCTCCTGCTGCAAGCTTTAGAAAGCAATTCGGTCTCGGTCTCGCTCATACACAAAAATGGGGCCCTGTTGGCAGATCCGGCTTACAGGAAAGAGTCCCAAAGTCTGTGGGCTGGTTCGCTGATGGAAAAGACCTCCAGTACAGTGAAAAGCCCCCGCATGGTGCACGAGTTTGGTTCGAGGGCACTTATGGCGCTGTGTCCGAGGGGGGTTCTTCCCCACATGCCACTTGTAAACTCAACTACGCCACACTGCTTCGTGCACTGATCTGGTTCAGGCAAGAGAATTCCATCTACCAGGCGAGGAGTGTAGCCGAGCGGCACGGATAGGACCGTGTTCAACCAAACGTTGTGTTCTTTTGGGTCATTGTGGCAAACCTCTGCCAGCGCTGTTGAAGGACTGTTGGCGCCAGCAGGACGAGAAGCCGGTACTGACAGGACAGTTCGCAATAAAAATTTAAAATGGAGCCCTGTCAAACCAGACCATGACGTTGGCGAAAAGAAATTTCTCAGAAAGCGGGAAGACGTCGGATGTATTGTACATGTAGCGCGAGTCTTGTATGGAGCCAGAGGCAGCATTGGCAGGCGTCGGAGTTGCATGATCTTACACCTGGACAGGGATCGATCTAGCTGGTATACTGTATACGGTGTGTGTGTGTTTGGTTTTCGTTCAGCTCATCAAGGGTGTATGGGGTCTACCAATTGATCGATCGACTGCGAAGGTTGACCGAAACAGGAAGCCGTCGAATGCGAGGACGAATGTTTTCCATCGTTGGGCGATCCTTTCGTGTCGATTCCAGTATGGCGTCGGAATGTCGGGTAACTCATCGGACGATCAGCGTGTTCTATGTTCAAGATGGCCAACTTGGGATGACTCGACGTTGGAGATTCAAGATGGGGGTTTGGCAGCAACGGGGGGACTGGTGAAAAGGCAACGACAGGCGGGCAGGCAGGCAGGCAGATCCTTGTATCCCAGTCAAGGCAAGCTCAGTGCAGGAAATCTGAAACGACGCGACACCAAATACTCTCCTACCGAGAGACCACTAGCCCAGAAGAGGAAGTACACTCCGGGATACTTTCTTCTTGGGGAAAGAACGATCAACTCGTGGCTTGCTGGGCTTGCTGAGAAGACCCCCTTCTTGCTTGGTAGCCTGCATGGCACCTGCCCAGATCATTCTGTAGGTCTTTCCTCGCTGGTGAAAGCAAGAGACCCCCCGATCTTCTGGCCAGAGGGAGGTGGGGGCCGATGAAAGTTGTGAGATCCCTACAAAGACATATATGCCTTCATGGAGCATATCTACGGCGCACAACACCAGGGCCGACTTCACATGAAACGGCTCCTGTTGGACATTGGCCCTATATCTGCCAGCACTACATGTACCGTCATGATACGGGCAATGCAACTTATGAACCACGTCCAGACCCAATGTTGTTCATCCATACTCCACGGTACCGCCACACGACTGATGCCATATCGGACGAACGCGATGCCATAGAGCGTTATACGGAAGAGAGAGAAGAGCTCTTGGCTTGACCAGCTAGAGCTCCAGGCAGACTAGGCCTCAATCGGTCCAATTCTTGACACCGACACCATGTACAGCTAGTTCGGCTCTGCCGCCACGCGCCATGCGTTCTGAACCCCGACGGCTCAAATCTCAGCTCCGACAGCTTCAGCTTCTGCATCTGGATCAAGCGCGGACCTCCGTGTCCATGATAACCTGGGTCTGACGTGCTGCTGACCCGTTCCCTCGTCCCAGCCGCAACGCCGACCTGCGTCTATCCGTAAGCTCAGAGGGGCAGGAAGTACCAGACACAAACAGGCCAGGCCAGGCCAATCCCATTTGCGGACCCCCCTCCCTAAGGCGCATCTGTCGTCGCGCCGGCTTACAAGATCGACAGCCCTCCCTCATTCGAGCGTGTCCGCTGATGGCTTCAAGGCCGAAAACTAAACCAGCTGGCAAACAATCAAGGCATGGCATGGCATGGCAACGCTCGGTTAGCGCTGGTGCCATCACAGCGCACGCGATCTCCCACACCTCAGGGCTTAGCTTACCCACAGGCGGGATTCGACGAGCCACCCAATGCGGGAAGCATCGGCGGCCAGCAACGAACGGCCGCGGGCTGGTGCGTCTAGAGCTTCGTGCTTCTGGGACAGAGGTAGCCTCTACTTGAAGATCTAAACAAGCAATTGACAATGGCGATCTTGTTCGTGGTTTTTCTTTTCTCGCCTCAAGCCTAGCAACCTAGTCGATCAAATCGTTCATGCCGTCGCTCAGTCGAAATGTACAAAGATCAGCTTCACCCAGACCGCCAACGTCGCGCTATGTGGGCTCGCAGTCGACCGGGACAACATCACCATTACCAGCGGCGAATTTACGAGTCTAGTGATATACACTGAACTATCAATGTATTCCCTCACACACCAACCCCATCCCAAGAAGGCATGAAACGCGAAAGCTACCGTCACCTAGGCACACAACGCCTGCAACCCCTCCTCTTCGGCGTGGGGAAGACATAGCCTGTCCGAACGAGCACACATGCCGACACATTTCGGCGGACCAACAGTAGTTTTGCCAGTCTGGTGCTGTACCTGGATGCCAGGAACAGGACAAGGACAAGGAAGCAAAAGCGGGGGGCAACATGGTGAGCCGCCCATCGTTCAATCCTTCAATCAAACGCGGTCTCCAGTTTAGGAGACACCAATTCAAGCCACGGTGCAGCCACGGCGGAATCCAGCAACATCAGGTCATTGGCTCCTTCTGTTCTATGTACCTGCCATATCTCCACGAGCCTGTCGCCAGTCTCTAGCTTGCAGGCTCCCTAGAACCAGCGGATATCTGATCGCACCCAGTTTGGCCACCATTTGGGGTTGTGATCGCCGTACCGCCACGCAGGTGCCTGTGGCGTACGCCGTCGAAAACGTGGTTGACAGCCACTCTGACAAGTCGAAGAAGCGAGGATATCCACCAAGCAACCTCCACTTTCGCCTCTTCCTTGCTCGTTGCACCGGCTTCAGTTCCGCTCGACTAGAGGATTGCTTCCCAGCCAGGCCGGTTGGTGTGCAAGCGTCCAAGGCAACAAGTAAGGATCGACAGGTCTAGAACCTGGCGGGATGGAAATCACGCAGCAACATCTGGAGCTCACTCCTCTGATCCTGCCCTCTTCGAGACGTTTCGGTTTGCTGCCCTTCTCCCCGGCTCCCAACCTGGGGCGAGCGAGTCAACGAACCCGCGCGACTGGGAAGCGATCCTGGAAGGGTCTCAAGCACAAATTGTATCATCCACTCCGCCTACTCCGTTGTCCTTCCCTCCATTTAGGCTGGCCAGGGTCCGTGGGTGAGGGGGCCTTGCTTCTCCCGGTCCCAAGTTTATTAGGTGGATCGGACCTTTCACAGTGTCACTTCATCTCTCTCCTACCAGATCTGAGATCTTTGCCCAATCAATATGATTGTGTGTTCTTAGAGAGGAAAATTGACGACAGACACGTACGACTTGGACGAGTCGTAAGTAATGACTCTATATACCAGGTACTGGTAGTCAGTTGCCTCATCAAAACTTGCATTGGGAGCAAATGCGGTTGTTAATTGGAATGCCACCTTGGCCCCTGACTCGGCTCCGCGGCAAGGGCTGTGTTATACCGCCGTGGTTATAGGAGCAAGTAGCTCGGCTATCCGCCGCACCAGAGCAATGCAAGCGACGAGCCACCGTTGTTATGTTCGAACTGCGGCGCAGATTCTTTCTCATCTCCCGTTGTCAAGCCTCACATGGCGTCAGCTCGAATGTGCAAGTTAAATGAGAAGTGGGGTGGTGCAAACACGCCTTGGCATCGCTGGCATATGCAGCAGGCATCCTGAAGCAATAGATCTGCGACCAGGGTTGAGTTCTCACTCGAGACTAATAATCACACGTACACTACAACTTCAGCCGACATGCAACTTGCATTGTAGGGTTTGCTCAATGCTGGCATCCTCCCGAAGCGGGAACAGTGTGCAAGCCTGAGAGATGACTTGCATTCTGTGTGAGCGTTTTCTGTGGGGTCGTACCATCGCATAGCTCAAACTCGAGATTGCGGTGCCCAAGATCGTTCATGGATTTGCCCGCCACGAGGTCGTACTTTGCACCTGTGCAGACTTTGCAAGGAGGAGATAAGGCTGGGAGGCAGCTAGGCTTGGGCTGGCACGCAAAGGATCTCATGCAAAACATGGCGCCGTGCACACACACGCGGACAGGCGCGATGTTCTATCACGGACGTCCAAGAAGGTCACATGAAACACCGAATCGAGAGGGGAACCCTCACCAGGCAGCTCTTCCGATGCGAGGGCGATCCTGGGCACGGCAGATGAGAGAAGCCTGCTTTCCCCTCCCGCAACGGCCATGCCCGTGCGCTGTTCGGCGGTCCGTGAGCACTCAGGTCGGTCCAGCAGGCGAGCATGACGCTGGGTTGCTCTGTCAGTATTTCCACTACCTTGAATGATGTGGTTCCTTTTTTATGTGAAGGAGCACAAGAAATCCGTATGGCGGTTGGAGGCTACGTTCCTGTTGGTGTCATGGACGCAGTAAGTCGGCAGGTGGGCCGACTAGGACGGGATGAGTCGGCATGAGATGCTAGCATCTTTCCAGAGGAGCTTCCCGTTTGAAGGGATCTGCCTGCTCTGCTCACCATTGGACGTGACTAACAGACTGCCCCAGCCTGGCGGACCTAGGGCGACCTAAAGCCGAACAAGCGATAAAAGTTCCAGCTCGTCATGAGTTGGAATTACTCAGACAGTCGAGTGAGTCAAGAAGCAGGCGCATACGGGTGTCGGAGTCTCTTCCGTCCGCCCTGACCCTCTCCCGGCCGCGTGCTCGAGACGGCGGCAGTCGCGGCGCTGGGCCGTCCGTGACGAGGGCGCGAGACCAAGCCTTCCCCCGCCACCTGGGACGAACGCGCAGTCGGGCGAACCAACCCCTCCCGGCAAGGCAAGCAGAGCGTCTCATCTGATTTATCACGGCCGAAGAAGGGAGGGGGTCCGTGTGCGCCGCTGACTGTTGCCGGTGTTTAGTCGGGCAAGCATCAAGTCAGATGGGACGAACGCTTCAGACCGGAGGGCGGGGTGAGGGGGGGAAGGGGTGTGGTCAGAAAGAAAGGGTCTGACCGAGAGCCTAGTCGACATCGGCGCGGACTGTTCGGGCAATTTTAGTCGTCAATTCAAACGACCGGGCGGCTCCAGTTGGTCAGTCAGTCAGTCAGCTCATGATGCAAAAGTGCCTCGACCTCTGTTGCATCGCAGCAGTGATGCTTCGGGTCAAGATCTGTGCGCCTCATAACATCAGCCCACTCCTACTACAAGCTAGAGCGGCAGCCAGAGACGAGAGTTGTCTCGCAGATGGAGTAGCATGCATGGACTTGACGTGCGTCTCCTCGCCTGCTAGCCCGTGGCTGAGTCAAAAGGGGTATGGATAGATACGAGATACGTTGTATCTGCCTGGCCTGCTCTCGCACTTGTTTGAAAGCTCCCCAACATAGCCTCCAAAGCTCTCTCTTTCGACTCTGCCGCATCAAAGTTTGGGAGTGAGGGTATCGTTCCGGACGGGGAGGGAATGAGTTGTCACTGCCGTCTCAGGATGTTGATACTACCATCCGAAATATCGTATGTCGCCATGTACAGAAAAGGGTTCAATCACATCATGATGCTCTCTGTCCTCGTCTATGCTTGTCAACCTGGCCAACACAACTGCAATCAGGATCAGAAGGCACTTTACAGTTGCAGATAGAGTTCAGGCACGAAAGAAGTCACATGGGAGGTGGTGCTATGAATCGGTATTCATTTCCGCAAGCTCTCTCTCTCTCTCTCTCTCTCTCTCTCTCTCTCTCTCTCTCTCTCTTTCTCTCTTGCGTCCTTCGGAGACGGGGCCATCAAAATAGACGCTCATACGTCAAGTCAAACAAAGTCCATGCAGCAGCCCACTGCATTGTATCCGTCTTTCCCGCTCCCTCCCTCATCCTGCCTTCGTTTTCTCTTCACTGGCAGCGCACCACATACATGTGCAGAAGCGTAAATGTACCATACAACAAGAAGTAAAACGTGGTGGTGTTCCCCAATGATTTCCCCCTGTTTTTCCCTTTCCCGATCATCATCCCTTCCCGAGCGCCGTACAGGAAAGAGTAAAGGAAAGCGAGAAAGCAGAATGGGCTGGAAGAAACTGCCGACTCCCCGGGGGCCACAAAACAAAAAAGCACGAAGAAATATGAAACCCCCGTCTGCTGTGCCGTTGCCCAACACTGGCGGGTAGGCATTACATCTTCTTCTGTCTTCCTCTTCCTCAAAGTCAAATCAGAAACATGCTGTAGATGCTCTCGTCCATGAAAAGTGCTTCAGGCTCCCTCAAAATAAAGATGCTTCGCCCACGCCTCTTCAAAGCTGGGGCTGAGCTACGCAAGCCCTCAGCCCATAAAAAACCGGTCCCGGCTCGAGCTTGCGCTGTTCCGCTGAGCAGCGTCAAGCGGTACGTTCTCCATCCCGTCTGTCGAAGACGTCGTCCCCTGCCGTTGCGGCGGCCGTTTCGTGAGCACGCCTTTGGTCTTCTCTGGTTTCTCTTGCGTTTGTGTTGACGGCGGCGGCGGCGGCGGAATCATGTTCGTCTCGCTGCTCGTGCGACTCTTGGTGAGTTTCTTGGTCAGCCGCTTCTGCGAGGGCGTCACCGACGGCGCGTCAGTTGCGTCCGACAGCCGCGTCTCGCTCGATCGTTGGCTTGGCGCCAGCGGCACAACGGACGGGCGGCTATAGGCGGGATTGTCGCGAATGGGAATAGGCGCGCTGGCGGCGACGCCGTTGCCCTCGAAGCCGGGATACACGGGCGGGCTTGGCGTTGTGCGCGAAGATGGCGGGGTCTGGGACACGGGCACCGCCGCCGGTCTAGGTGGCGGCGCGAAGGCGCCAGATGCCGGGGATGGCCTCACGGGTGTGTTGCTGCCGGGTCCCGTCGCCGCGGTGTGCGGCATAATGTAGTTGTCCAGCTTTCGGCCCAAGACGTCGACCCGGACGGGTTTTGCGATGTAATCGTTCATGCCGGCCGCCAGGCACTTCTCCCGATCACCCTGAATCGCCGATGCCGTCATGGCGATGATCAGGACCTTGTTCACGGCCTCCAACGGCTCGCTACGGATTGCCTTGGTCGCTTCATAGCCATCGAGCACAGGCATCTGCACGTCCATGAGCACAACGTGATATGGCTCTCCTTCCTGTGCCTTCTTTCTCAGTGCTTCGATTGCCTTTTGCCCGTTCTCGTACGCGTCCACCGTCGTGTAGCCCAGGCGTCGCGAGAACTTCATGGCAATGTTCTGGTTGATCAGGTTGTCCTCGGCGATGCAAATTCGGATCTGGTCCTTCGGTATGGTCGTCAGATGGATGAACGGGTTTGGCGCCAGCTCGTTCAGCGGAGTCGCGGGTATCGTGAAACGGTCGGCGATGGGCGGCGACTTGACGGTTTGCGCGTCACCTGCATTGACGTCCGGCGTGGCCTTGTCAAAGGTCACGGTGAACCAAGCCGTGGTGCCGACGCCCTCTTGGCTCTCCAGGTGAATCTTGCCCTTCATCATGGTCTCGATCAGAGACTTGCAGATGCTGAGTCCGAGACCACTGCCGCCGTACTTTCTTGCTGTACTGGCGTCCGCCTGCGAAAACGGCTGGAACAGCTTCTCGAGCTGCTGCTGTGGAATGCCGATGCCGGTGTCTTGGACTTTGAAGGTAAGCACAGCCTTCTCGTTCGAATCGAAATCGACCTGCGCCCCGATCGTGATGGAACCATTCTCTGTGAACTTGAGGCTGTTGTTGATGAGGTTCCCAAGCACCTGGTGCAGACGGATGGGGTCGCCGTAAATAAGCATCGGGGGAAGGTTGATGTCCTTGGTAATCGTAACGTTCTTCCTCTGTGTCTTCTGCCTGTTGCTGTACGACACAGCACGCACGACCTCACGCACCATCTCCTCCGGGTTGAAGGCGATGACATACAGTTTCATCTTGTCGGCCTCCATTCTCGAGAAATCGAGAATGTCGTTGATGACCGTGAGCAACAGATCGGCAGACACTCGGATCGAGTCCGCCATGTCCAGTTGCTCCCTGTTGAGGCTGCTGTCGCGCAGCAACTCCGAGTTGCCAATGACGCCGTTGAGAGGCGTCCGCAGTTCGTGGGACACGTTGGCCAGGAAGATTGATTTGGCCCTCGCTGCCTCTTCGGCCAGCTTGACGTTGCGTTTCGCTTCCGCCTCGGCCGCCTTGGCCTTGGCCTCAGCTTCTCGCGCCTGATCCACCGTGCTCTTGAGCGCCCGCACGTTCGACTCGTTCTCCTTGGACACCTTCTCCACGGCCTTCATGGCCAGCGAGTTGGAGTAACTGATGCCGATCTGGTTGACGAGCAGTTGCAGCACTGACACATTGCGATCGGTAAACGACCCTGGCTCGCCCTCAAGGTAGAGGACGCCGAGCAGCCCGTCGTTGCCGGCTCCGCGGGAGATGGGAATCGCAATGACAGCTTTACTCAAGACGTTGCGCTGGAGCCATGCTTCGTTGACGTTGCCAAACCGCTCGTCGTTGAGGATATCTGGAATGAACAACGTCTCCCGGAACCGCGTGCAGTAGAGAATGACGTTCTCTGCGACGAGGGACGTGTGCGAGAGCAGCTCGCGGCTCTCAGGGGCTTTTGCTCCCCGCTCAGGATCTCCGCTAGCCGCGAGACACCATCCCTGCGCATCGCGGACGATTATGGCGGCGAGTGTGGCCGTGCCACCGCAGGTCTGTAAGATGACGTCGCACATCGTCTCGAGAAGCTGGTCGACATTGAGAACGGCCGAGATGACCTGAGACGACAGCAGAATCGCATGCAGGTCAATCATATCGAGCGCAGGCAGACCGGCCCCGGCACCAGCTTGGAGGTGCACGGAGCCACGCCAGGCACCGATCCGTTCGCCCTTCAGATCGACCATCGCGCTGCTGGGAGCCAGTGGTAAATCCTCGCTCTCCTCGCCGTCCATGGCACGGAAGTGCGGTGGAGGAGCGTCTGATGAAAAGTCCGTTTGCACACAGGCATCTACGGTCCGCGGGTTCCGTGTTGGGCCATGGAGAAGGAGGGCGTGCGTCTCCTCGATATGATCAGCCACGCCGACGGCACCAAACTGCCGATACAGCGCGGCAGAGTCCCTCATGGCCGCTCGGGCAGAACGCCTCGCTTTTCTCCCGACGAACACACCGGCCATGAGATAGTTACCCAGCGCCTCGTCAAAGGTGTGATTGTGCTCTTCGGCATGATCCAATGCCTCTTCGTAAAGCATGATTGCGCCGCCGTAGTCCTTGCTGAGCTCGCAAATCTGAGCATCGAGAATCTTGTACCACGAAGCGTAGTTGACATCGTTGTACGTGGCCCACTCTTTGATCTTTCTCGTAAACACGCGCAGTGTTTGGATGCATTCTTGCTTCTCCGCCTCGAGGCTGTCTGGGTTGAACCGCGGGTCGTCGAGACGATGCAGCATCCGGCCAGCGAGGGACAGGCCGTAGAAGAATATGAGGTGGCGACTGTTGCGGGCAGACCACATGATATCGATGTTCTCGTAACAGGCTGCACCGATCTCGATCGCGCGGTCATAGTGGCCAAAGAGGAAAAGCGGAATGATCTCCAACGTCTCGAAGAACAAGATGGAGCGGTTGCCATTCAGGACTTTCGTGTCGAGCCGCGACTTGTACTGGAGTGTGTTGAAAACATTGTCGCTAAACACGTGCTGTGCGTCCCTGGTTCTCGTCTTGCCCTGCATGGCACGACAGAGCTGCCGAACGGCGATGAGCAGAGTGCCGCCCCGAGTGTCGTCCTTCCAACCCTGAACGTCTTCACAGGCATACTGGGCGAATGCCTCGACATCAGCGAGGTTTTCGCTAGCGTAAAACTTGAGCATCGCAGACAAGCCAGCGCTCACGATTGACGATGTGCGATCTCCGGCGGCCGCAGCATACTCGACAGAGCCTTCCAGGTGTGCCAAGGCCACGCTGACGGGGAACTGAACGTGGCCGATGAAGATGGCATAGACCATGTAGCCCCTCGCCATGGAGAATGGATCTCGGAATCGATCGAGCATCTCGATGCAGACATCCCCGGCCTCCACAGCCAATTTAACGAGGTTGAAGCGGGAGAGCGCGATGATGCCAAAGTAGAGAAAGACCAGCCCAGACTGCGGGAATGCGCCAGAGGTCAAGTGCAGATCTAGCATGGCGAGGGTGATGCTATAGAACCGGAGCGAGTTGCTCCACCATGCCGAGCTCAACGTCTCAGCCATGACGGCGGCGATCGAGGGTAACGTAGGGTCCGGCGACACGGCCGGCTGCATCAGTTCCGTCTTGTCCATCGTCTGAATCTTGATCGCCAGGCGTTCAAATTCTCGGTCACAGCGTTCGTACGTAGGGTGTTCCTCCAGCCTGACATTCATGAGGCGTAAACACTTCTCCAGCGAGTCGCACGCTGCGGTAACATCCCCAGCTTGGGCGTGAATCCGTGATTGCAGCACGTAAGCGGGTGCCTTGTCGATCGCCGTACGTCCCTTGTCAAAAAGGATTGAGAGAAGACGACTCGCCTCTTCTTCCTGATTCATGTACAGACTGCACTCGGCCGCTCGCAGGTGTATCTGTAGGGTTTCGTCGTAAGACACGTCCTCGGGGCCATCGGCCCAGGGGTTCGGTTGGAGGAGGTCCAAGGCCGTCGCATAATACTTGGCAGCCGTCGGCCGTGCCTCGTTCTCTGTTGCCGTAGCGGCGCACTCGAGGAGCAGCGTGCGAAAGGGTTCGCGGATCTTCACTCGCCGTTTAATCAGCTCGGCCGACTCGCAAATGTGTAACGAAGCAGTATCTCGCGCCCGAGCATCCGTTGAGTAGTACTTCATGAGAGTCTGGGCGATGATGAAGCGCATTTTGCGGGCGTTACATTCCTTGAGAGCGGCCGAGGCCTGTATGTAGCGGTCATGGGCGAAACGGAACCGGTCATCCGTCTCGCCAGGCATCAGAATACACGCGTTGACGGCGGCCTGGAGGCCAGCGATGAGTTCATCGTTAGAATATTTTGTGTTCACCTCTTGGGCGTTCGGGTCAACACAAGCAACATCGTCCGCGTATTGGAACTCGCCCGTCAAGAGACGACTGACGAGCTCAAAAGAGAAGGAGTAGCCGAGAAGCGCAGCCCAGGCCAAGATTGCGCGCGCCGATGGTGGAAGCTCTTTCAGACGCTGAGTGATGAAAGCCGTATCGAGAACATCGTATCCCTCCGTCTGGAACTGATCGAAGAGTCGGTCAAGATCAAAGTGCCAGTTGCTGTCCTTGTATTCGTACCAGATACTCTTGTTGCGGTAGCATGCGCTGAGCATCTCTCTGATGTAGAATGGGTTGCCAGCAGTCTTGGACTGAATGACGAGGGCCAATGGCAAAATGTCCTCTTTGGGTCGGCATAATGTGGCCGCAACATAGTGCACAATGTCGATCTCGCTGAGGGGCGCCAGCGCAATCCTGGTGATTGTCGGCCTCCCTGTGCGCGAAAAGTCTGTAAAGCATGAGTGGTTGTCCGCTGCATGATCACAATGGTTGGACTTGCCGTCGGGTTCTGTTGAGTTGACAATGGAGTGAACCTCGTCAGGCGTCATCTCATCCGGCCGGTACGTCACAATAATGACCATCCTCATCCTTGCGCTGATGATCTGTGAAATCAGTTCGAGAGACTCGCTGTCTGCAAAATGCAAGTCATCCAGCACAAAGCATACAAACTTGTTGGCCGTAATCATGCGCAATACGTCCAAAAACGTGTTCATCAGCCTCGTGTTCTTCGTAGACGTGCCTGCTCGCAGGAAATCCTGCGAGCTTTGCAACGGTATGCCCGGGTTCTTGGGTTGCAGGCCGGGTGAAGCGTCAGGAGACAGCCCATGCTTCATGCTGTTTCTCATGTTGCGAGAGCCCTGAAAGGTCGGCGGGGATCGCATAGTTGAGTTGTCAATGGTGCCGAGAAGATGTTCAGGGAGACCTAATGCTTTGGCAAGCATCGGCCAGACAGGGCGGATGTAGTGTTTCAAAGCATGGTGAAAAGGCGTGTCTGTGTGTTTCTCGCCGAATACTTGTCGGAAGAGTGATGACAGCAACTTGAGCAAAGGGCCGAAGGCCTGTCTCCTTGCGTTGTCAAACTTGGCAGAGACGTAGTAGCCCCGCTTCCTGGCTTCCGAAAAGACAGACTGGAAGAGAAAGCTCTTGCCCAGGCCGGCAACACCTTCGATGGTAATGATCTCGCAGTGTCCGCGGCGCCTAAATTTGGCCGACCCGAGTTGGCGGGACAGGCTCGACGCTGTAGATTCGGCCACGCTTTGCCGGTTCATATCACTGGTTCCCATGCTGTCCGCCAGGCTTCGCGTCTCGACAGAGATGGAGGAGTTGCGTTCCCATGGTCTTGCCATTCGCGCCAGAGGACCAGAGTTGGTCGAGGCAACCGTCTCGCCCGAGATGGTCTGGCTGTCGGAGAGCACCGACGGCACAAAACTAGCCCTGACCTGCCTAGGGTCTGAGGAGGTAGTTTGGGTGAAGGATCCGCTGCGGCGGGCCGTGCCATCGGCGGAACTGGCTCCTTCGCTCGAGGCGTCGGCCGCGTCCAACACGTCGTTGGAGAGGTTGGAACCGTCTGAAAATCTATTGCTGGCGACCTTTTGGCTCATGGCGTGGCTCTTGGCAGATCGGTCGATGACCTTGAGCAGTTCGTTCCTCTCTTTGGATCGCCCGATCATCATGGTCGGCAGGATGAAGAAGGAGGAGATATCCTTCTCACCAATGGTCCACTTTTCGAGGGCCAGCCAGTCTGCCTTTTCCAGAAACTCCTGGACCTTGACAAGATCGTGACGTAGACCGCTCGCCGAATGGTAGCGATCGGCCACGCGCATGGCCGTACACTTTTCGATGATGCGGCCAATGACGGACGGAACGTCTTCCCTCACTTTCGACAGTCGGGGTATGCTTCCCTTGAGCACGGAGTGGACGATATCTAGAGGCGTATCACCATCGAAGACGGGATGTTGCGTCAGCATGGTCCACAGGACGACGCCCAAAGAGTAAATGTCTGTCCTGCTGTCGGGCTCGGCGGGCATGCGTCCTGTCTGCTCGGGACTGATATACAGCAGCTTGTTCTTCGCCCCCAGCTCCTTCGACAGGTTCGACCACGCCGAGCTCTGCAGTCGGTTCTCGAAGGACCTGGTGCCCGTACCAATGGCGGCGAGCTTGACGCGGTGCGTCTCGATATTGTAGTGGAAGGCGTCGGGCCTGATCTCGCCGTGCGTGGCGCCTTGACCATAGTGCAGTATCTCCAGGCACTGCGCGGCGCCAACGGCGAAGCGCAGAAACTCTGGCACGCCTATCGGCGGGTTGAGAGTAAAAACCTCCTTTCTGTACGCCTCCCAATGGTTATTGACCTTGCGCGTGCTGTAAAAGGCTGGCCCGAGGTCTATCAAGTCGAATATGGCATTGCGTCCGGGGTGCTGGTAGATGGCCACCATGATGGACCCGCGGTCTCCGGGCTGCGGCGTCAGGCGGACGAGGTCTATCGGCTTGACGATATGCTCTCCGTGGGGGTCAACGGATGTGATGAGATGCTTGGTAATGTGGAAGGTTCTCTCCTCGCGGAGGACATGGTAGGATATGCGTGCAATGACGGGTTCTTCGGGGTAGAGGGTATCGGGGTTCGACGTCGGTATGGGAGGCGATGCGGGCGAGAGCGAGGGGTCTTTGCTGGCGTCGGCCTGGGTCTCGGCGCCGATGATGCTGGGGGAGCTGTAGTGCTCAGAGGGTGAGGGGCGGCCGGACTGGAGCCTCGCGGCCGACCCAGGGCTCGAGACGGGATATGTCGTGGGCGGGGAGAAGGGCGACACGAACTTGGTGCCAGCGACATGCCAGATGTCATAGGTTGTATGGAACGGCGGATGACTATCGTCCCAGGTGTAGCCGGCAATCTGGCGGAGTCGCTCGAAGAGGCGCGCCGGCGGATCATGCTGATCGTCGGGCATGATGGCGGCGTAGTCCATGCGAAGCAGAGGCCGCAGAGGGCGAGCTCGGATGGTTGTGGGATGTGCTGCTCGGCAGTCCTGGGGGCAGGCGGTCGGCTCAGGTTGGGGAGGAACAGAGCATCACCTGGAGAAGCTCGCCGGCACAGGCATCGTCGTCGGACTGATAGACGGTCTTGTGTGCGCCTGGGGGGAGGTTCAAGAACCGAGGCGGTCCGTAGAGGCGTTGATGCTACAGGCGCTTTGTTGTGTGCGAGAATGTTTTGCGCGACCAGTGGCCGGATGTGGTCGGCGTCTGGTTCGGGGGGGTGGGCGATATGATCAAGAGCTAGAGCGGAGCTAGAGCCGAATCGCGATTTGGGAGGTTGTTGCGTCTGTCTGGGAAGCCAGCAAGGCAGCGGAACACCTGTCAGGAATCGATGTGAGGCCAAGGAAGAAGAGGCTCTGCTATGATGGCTTAGGACAGGCACAGGTACAATGTCTGGTCAATCAAGGCGAATAGGCACCTCACTCGCCAGCAGCAAACAAAACGCAGAGTTGAGAATCTTCGTGACTCCACCCTCTCTATTGGACGAGGACTGACGGACTTGGCTCGCGAAGCGGGCGGGATCTGGGCCAGGGCAAGGGACACTGAACCTTGTCATTGACCGCCGACACCAGGTCTTGGGCCTTTGGGTTCATAGGGGCCCATTGGGGCCTGGGGGGGGGGGCTGGATGCTGAGGTCCTTAGGTGGTCCTTAGGCGGTCCTTAGGCGCCTAGTCAGTCATCTTGAATCAGTCATTCGAAGGGGCGGCAGCTCGGCGTGTGAAGTGGGGGGGGGCCTCCTCGGGTAGTGCCTGACGATTGCTTTGTCCTGTTGGTTCGGCTCTGCTGCCAGATGACGACTCCTTGTCCCCCTCCTCCCCCCGCCGCCTTGGAAGTGGCCCAGCAAAGACGAAGGCAATCAAACTTGCTTTTCGTCGACATGGCAGCCCAGAACCCGAGCAGTCTCGTCCCTGCGATCCATACTCTGGCCCTGATCATCACCACGGCCAACTCGGCAACGCAGGCAAGGCAATGCAAGCCAGCGCAACCCCCGTCTCCTCGCGAGGTACATCTCATCTTACAGGCCAGAAAGCAGCTGTCATTCAAATGCTTGCAGGTCAACCCTGAGTCTCTGATCGGCCGGCCCTGTCCCCACATCTTCGGATCGAATTCCTTTCTGTCATCAACCCCAGTCACCCAGACGAAAGAACCACACGACGCATGTCGATCCTGTCCTGTTACTGCTGCCCAACCGAACGTTGCGGCTCCTCTCGTGCCTTGTCTACCATGATGGCAAGGCAGGAGAAGGAGAAGAGAAAATTTCGCGGGAGTGGCATGATTAGCTTGTCGGCTTGCAGCTGGTCGCGTGGTCCAAGACGGCCTCTCCGTCCAGCCATTCTGACATCCTTCTCGAAACCTTCTTTCTCTTCACTCCCAAACACGCCCAGTAAAATGTCCTGGCCTCGTACGTGTTGATAACATAAGCGGCCTAGACCTCCACACTCTCCGACCAATGTCCCATGCCTCGAACACACCGCAGCCTCGGCGTATTGGTTTGTCGCCTTTGCTGGGTCGCGGTCCAAGTGAGACCTGCGCATGTTCCGCAACGGAGCCGTGTTCTGAGACCACCGAGTGCGGTGCATGACCTGCCCTTGCTGCCCTGCTGCGGGAACCGTGATGCAGCATCCAAGAGTACACCCGGAGGCAGAATGACAGGGAGGAACGCAGGTGAGGTTTCGCGACAATTCTTCATCTATCTAGCAGAGTCTTGGCATCTCTATCAAACCTGACCCAACAGTAGGCCATCCGCCATGCTTTCTACAAATCCATCAACATCATGCGTATGACGCTTGTGCTTGCCTCCTGGCAAGCAAACCAATCCCATATATCCTCAAAGCATGCATCATCACGCGGGTCCCCTTCCCGGTGGGCCTCGCCCATTCGAATCGTCCCTTCCAGCCAGGCCCCACAGCCGCTTGCTGCTCGCAGCCCACGCCGACTCTTTCAAGTCGCCCCGCCGGCCGGGCTCACCCTGATATGAAGTAGTCTACTGGACCTGCTTCGACGACTTGCGGCTGTGTGCGGGCTGCGAGGCCTTGGACGCGGCACGCTCCCTCGTCGGCAGCTCCTTGGCGCCGTTGGTCTGGGTAGATGTGGGCGCGACAACAAAGTTCTCCAGGCGACGCTCCGTGTTGGCGCGGCCGTTGACAAAGTCGGGGTAGTTGAGCGTCAGCTCGACGGCGCCGTTGACAATGTTGTCCGCGGCCTCCACACCGAGCATGAAGGAGTGGTCCTGGTTGCCGACCTCGTACCTCCAGCTGCCGAAACGACCACGCGAGTAAATGTCCAGGTCCTGCAGCTTGGGCAGCAGGTCCTTAAGCACGCCCTCACGCTCGAGAGAGGGAGTGGGGTAACCGTGGTCGAAGCGACGGTGGTAGGTCGAGACGATTTCATCCTCCGCGGTGATCATCTCCGTGTTGATAAGACCCTGGATACAGTCCTTGAGGAGGTTCTCCTGGTCGACGGGCTTCATCGAAGACTCGGACACCTCCAGCATGATGGACCAGTAGGGGCCTTCCTTGGGCTCGGTCGACGCCGCCTTGGCGCCATTGGCCAGGTACAGGGTCGCGAGCTTCTCGCTGGCCTGAGGCTGGTTGTAAGGCGAGTAGTTGGAGAAGATGGTGGCGCGGTAGAAGGGGCAGTTGTCTTCAGGGAAGTAGAGCCAGCACTTGTCACCAATGCGCTCCGGCCTCGCGCCACGCAGACCGACACCAATGACATGCGTGGTAGAGTAGTAGAGGCCCTTGGAAAGGCTGATGAGCTCCTGGTTGCCCATCTTCTCAACAAGTGAGTCAACAGCCATTGTGGAAATGAGCTTGTTGTACTTGATGGTGGTGCCGTCGCTGAGGGTAACGACCTTGCCCTCGGCGTCGACCTTCTCGACCTCACCCTTCTTGCCGTAGCGCTTCTTGTCCTCTGGGAGGGTGTCGGAAACGGCAATCCAGATGCCACCAGTGCCGTCGCGGGCGGGGAAGCGGAAGGTCGCGTTGGGACCCCAGTTGCCAGCAATCTTGTTCAGGACAACGTTCTTGGTCACAAGCTTCAGGTTGGGCGCAGCGACACGCTCGCCGAGCCAGGCGCATTGCATCTGGGGTTTTGTCAGATACACCGATAGAGCCTAGAAGAGCTGTGGTTGGGTCATACCTTGGTGGTGGGAACAGCCCACACCTTGTAGTTGTAAGGACGCATGAAGATGTTGGCAATACCCTCTCCAATGTTGCGAACGATCCACTCGTCAAAGTCCTTGGGCTTGGTGTTGGAGACACGAGCCTCGAGGGCGGCATCAATGAGACCGTCCATGCACAGAACCTGGTCCTCCTTGGGAAGCATGGAGATGTTGTTCTGGAAGGGGTAAGGGACCCAGAGGCCCTTGTAGCGGACGTAGGAGATGCGCTGGTGGGTGTACCAGTCATCCTCCTTGGGGAGAGCCTCGTCAATGCAGTCGTCGAAGTACTTGTAGTGGGAGAAAATGACGTGACCGCCGACATCGTAGAGCTGTGGTCCAGCACGAGTTAGTGTATAGCTCAATGTGTTCGTGTTGGTGCAAGGCGCGCGGGGCGAGGGCAGTATCAACTTACGAAGCCTTCAGGGGTGACATCGGTGGACGCAAGACCACCGGCCTTCTCGTTGGCGTCGAGAATAAGCCATGAAGGACCGTTCTGCCGGCGCTGGTCAGTATTTTCTTTCCGGACCGTTCTCACGATCGAGGACTCTGGCGGTGAGGACAAACCAGCTGATTGAGACGCTTGGCGGCTCCCAGGCCGGTCGGGCCAGCACCGATGACGAGGACGTCAACATTACTATCGTAGAATATATCTTGTCAGCAGCCAGACTTGTCGATAGCTTTGCACAGACCGACGAGAGGGTGCGAGGCACTGGAAAGGGGACACTCACATGTCGGCCATGGTGGGGAAGATGTCCTTTTTGCTTTGGGAAGGTGGGGGAGATGGAGTGGCGGTATGCTTCACGACGATGGACGTGTGTGAAGGCGGAGACAGGATTCAAGCAGCAGACAGAGCTGTGAGAAGAAAGGACGTGAGGTTCTGCGAGAGGCGAGAGGACCAGCAAAAGAGAATCGAACTGAGGGGCGTATTGGCTCGTTGCCGTAGATATTGAAGTGGGCTTTAGGCTGGGAGAAGGGAAAAGGAGGTGCCCTGCGCAGCCAGTGCAGCCCGCTCTGCGGCAACAGAAGGAGGGGCCCAGATTTTATTTTCTGCAGGGGTCATGAGAGGCCGGGGGTCGTGGTGGGCGGGCAAGGACGCCGGGGCCAGACGCCAGACGCCAGGAGAAGTAGTTGCCAGCCCTTCCCAGGTGATGATGCGGGTACCGTGAACTGTTACTGGTATACAAGTACCTACCTATCACCTATTACCTATGTGAGCCCCACTACTACCACCACGACCGACTGTGACCACCACATAGACTACTGCCACCGGCCGGGTTTCTCGTCCACCCCCTCCCCCCGCCGCCTGCGCGCTGCTCTGTAACTGCTATCCTCTACAACTTTTGGGCTCTCTTCTGGTCATACCTGGACGAGTCACCCAATTCCTACGGTCGCGTCACGCATCACGACTGTCTACCTTGTGGGGGTAGCACACATATCAGCCAGATCCTCTGGCCGCCGATGGGGCCTTGCTGGGCAGCGGACGCAAGCAACCTTCGTTGCTGTGGCTTCTACAGAGGCAAAGAAGGTAACGACGAAACAAGTTGCGAGAGCCAAGCATTGAAAACCATCCCAAGAGAAAGCGGATACAATGGACCAATGCAGTGCCTGGCCTTTCCCTGCAACGAGCACCTAGCTTGAGCAACGGTCCAGCACAGCATACTAAGTACGCCAAGTTTGGGTGGGACGAGGATCCGTGCGCTGTCGACGATCCGCGGCTCACGCCATGCCCACCTTGCACATACTGATAGACGGCTTGTTGTGGGGATGGTAATAACTGCTGTACCTTTCCCACTGCTACGGTACACGGCCACCTACCGCATCAACTCTTGCCATCGATTCACCGCTCACAAGGATCTGCGGCTGACGCTTGAACAGCCTCCCTGGGGTACTGTGCTGTCGCGCGCTTGCCACAGCCAGACAATGGGCACTCGAGTCAGATTCCACACTCTGATGCCGCTCTCGCCGGAGGTTGATCGGCACTGTTTGACCACTTCTTGGTCAAAGGAGACCGTGGCAGGCTCGACGGACATCAAAGATCGCGCCTAGTAGGTCTAATTCGGCCCTCGCCCTGTCTGGCAGTTGGTCGCCTGAGATGGCTTTACCTATGCATGCAACCCACTAACCCCCCCCCCCCCCCCCCCCACTTTTCGCTGGACAAGAACGAGGAAACAATCTCATCAAACGTAGCTCGGTCCATCGACGCCTCTTTTCAGCCAACCTCTTCGTTTTGTGTCGATGGTTCCGGCCTGCCACGAGTCTGATACCGAACCCTGCTAGGCGCAATCTCATGGAAATTGATGTCAATTACCCACGCCCAGGCCTCATCCGCCGCCACTGCATGGTCACCGTGGCACGACTTCGGCTTCGACGCCCCTGGCACGCAGCGTTATTCACGCTGCGCGCCTCATTTGTCTGAATTCGAGAAAGGTCTGCCCAAAGGAGACGGTCACTGCGAGGACCAGCACCAGCTGGTGCTCAAATCAAGCCAATACAAGCCCAAGATTCGCCCACGGGTATCTCGATAGGCACCCATATTCTTAACACCAGTGCCGAATGCGGTCGCAGGGTCTGTCTGGCCAGGGGCATTCATACATGCTCTTCGTCTCTCTGACGACATACCCTCACCGTATTGGAAATTACCACCTCCTCCACGGGATAATGATGCCAGTTCAGCCGTCTCCCACCACCCGCCCTGTCGAGACAATCTGCTTCATCTCATCAGTCAGCGGTTGCAATCAATCGCCATCGTACGCTAGGGAGGATGGCAGTGCAATCGATCTTCCCCCCTGATCTTCGAGCATTCATCATACATCACCATCCGCCCCAGGGCTGGTGTGCTTGGGTCATGCCAGAATGCTTTGCAGATTGTGAGGATGACTCGTGAATCCCGACACCGTCTCCTGATCCATCCACAACCTTTGAAACATGTCGATGATCCGATCTACATCAGACCCAGCGGTCAACGCGCGGCATGTACGTGCGGCGTGTGTCAAGCCCCGACCAAGGCAGGCAAATGGCAAAGCAGCCGAGTTTGCCTCATGTCAGCCATGACATGCCTGCAGCACACCGTGTCGCGTGTTTAAACTGTCCCGTACCTGACTAACCTGTTCGGAGAGAGCTTAGCATTCGACTACCGGCCCTGTCGTGCCACCCGCGACCAGGCCGAGAGCACGCTCTTCGATTGAGGTCTTGGCTTGGTTCCCCTACCATGTATCCTGGATGAGGCGCCACGCAGCTCGAAGCCAAGACCGCATCGACGAGCCTTCGGGATGGTTATATCTCCGACGCGAAGACTCTCGGCCCCCGCTATGGCTATACCGAACTGGCTCGACTTAGACAGCCTTTCCACGAACCCTCAAACGACTAGTAGTGTCCGATGCCTGACTGGATTAGGGTTGACAGCCTACGATTCATCTCGATGGCGTACATGGTTGATCCTTTCGATCGTGCTATGCGATCATCCCTTGACAGATAGATGGATGGTTTGAGGACGATGCCCTCGCCGCGCCTGACTAGTCCAGTTCAGGCTGTCAAAGAAGTCACATTGAAGCTAAACAAGGGACGGCGCGAGTGGGCATACGGAAGCCCCGGTTTGGGACAATACAGCGACAGCATACCAGACTCAGAACTACTTGCTAGACAAAATAAGAGTCGAGGCGTCCTTGGCGCTCATTGGTTCCCTAGCTTGGTATTTGAAGAGATGGCCACTCGTTCCGAAGGTTCGAAGAATGCTGACCGACTAACATTACGTCGTGATGTTTCTGACCAACAGAAAAAAACCTCGAAGGCTACCGACCATAGGGTTCACCTGGGATTGGTGATACAATTCGCGCACATTGCCTCGGTAGAAATGCTGTAGGACAATTGGCGTCGGTGGTTGACAGCCTATCGACAACCCATGATTTGTCCTGAAGGATATCTATCAGTATCGTGAGAGCTTCGCTCTTCACGAGTTCAAGTCCCTATCCGGTGCTGACTCGACAAAAATAGAGTCAACCGAGACCGCGTTCGGCCCCCACACCCGGGTCCCAGCCAGGCAGCTGGAAACTTCCTGACTGACGACGGCGAGGATATTACTTGTTCGTAACCGGGCGGGTCTGTTACGTGGTCGTCTCGTGTTCCTGGCCGTTTGACGTTGTTCGTCGTCGTGGCCGTAATCCCAAAAGAGCTCGTGACGGGAGAGGCGTCGGCCACTTTACCCATCCCAGAGCAGCGCATCAAGCAAATTTTTGGCAGCAACCGTAACTTGCGAACACGGTAGTCAGTTTCTTGCTCCTGCCCCCCCCCCTTCTAAATTGCTCCCTTGCCATGTTTGCCCCTCCCCTCCCGTCCTCCCCCCTTTGCTAGGGGGCGCGCCGAAAAGGGAGTTCCGGCGTGCCGACCAGTCCTAAGCGACTCGTGGCACGCCATGCTGGAACGGATTGAGGCTGTGCTTCCCGCGACGTGTTTCCCAGCAACCCCCTGAACGGCGGGCGGCCGGGAGCAGAGGGACACACGCGGCCGTCGCCAAATCGCAGTGTAACTGCCCATTGGACGATGCCCTGTCATCTCGCTCAGGCTCACTGCTGTTGATCTTCGCCCCGGCACCCGGCGACATGTGGACAAGTACAATGAGAGTAAAAGCAGCGCTGCATGGAGAAGATGGGCGTAAACAATGACGAATCAGAGTATCACCACGAACACACCGACCAGCGTTCACTCTGAAGCCAGGCAAAGGGCGCTTGCGGCATCGGAACAAGCAGATCCACGGGATACTGATAGTCGTCCGCTAGGTTGGCAGCTCAAACACAGGGCACAGGGCATAGGGCCACAAGGGGCACTGTCGCACGCTGCATTAATAAGGGGTGGGGGGCCGAGATCTGCGGAATGGGCTCGACTCGTGAAGGGAATCCTGGCTCTCTGGACTGTCGGCGCATGATGATCGTCTAGTACCGAGTACATCGGACGTTGAGTAGGCACCAAGGGATGCCGCGGGCCAGGGATGTCAACGATGTCGGGATTTCTCCTCGTCCTTTCGTTGTAGACTGGACAGCCAGGGAGCACAGACTGGGGTTTGTGATGGAGCTTGAATCCGCTTGACGAGATGGAGAGAAACATCAAGCTGAAGGATCGCAATCAAGCGAGTTGTGAGCATGGAGGGGAACACTTGATGGACGGCCAGGCATCAGGTCAGTGGATCTGATGCAAGGCGAACCAAGCACCAAGCATCGACACATACCTTACCTACCTACCTAAGGTACCTACCTACCTTACCTACCTAGGTAGGTACCTACCCAGGTACATCGAAGGGGAGAAGGGGAGGGGAGAGGGGGGAGGTCTGTTGCCCCCTGAAGCGGACCCTCTTTTAGGCTGGCAGCCCCTAAGAGCACTAATCTCAGGCCCATCCAGCCCCTGGGAAGATGAGGCGCAGGCACCGATGATGAGAGGGCCAGATCACGGCAACATGTGGGAAGCGACGATTGGATTGGCCAGCGGACAACCCTCTGGCTGGGCTTATCGGGGTAGCTCATCCAATGATGGGCAGTTTGACCAGAATTTTCCCTTTCCATTTGCCAGCCATTGAGTTGGTTGGCAGGGCCCCTCGCTCGTGCCGTCTGCTGGGGCATGCACGCGCATCTCATCCACCGTTCCACGCCTCCATCGAATCTCGTCTCCTGGACCCTCTCCTTGCTCCCCCCCACCCCTGGTCGACCGTCTTTGCTATCCCGTCTTTCCATCCCACCCCTCCCCTCCCCCGTTTGGGCTCCTCCCATTCCCACACAAATCTCCATCCAAACCACTACCAAGCACCAAGATTACCGGCCAACACAAAGCTGGACCGGGTCTCTCTCTCACACACGCGCGCAGACTCGTGCACCGCAGTCTTTCTTCTTCACTCCTTCTTCTTCTCCTTCTTCCTGCTCCTGTTCCACCCGCCAGAATCACCCCCTCTGACCCTGCGAACGAGGACGACGTTGACAAGCTTTTCTCGCCCGGCTTCAGCTCAGACTCCCGCTACTGTACCGCTATTGCCACGTCCATTCTCGGTACCTGCTAAGCACACGGTTGTACATCTGCAGCTTTTTTTTTTTTCAAGGGACCCCCCGATTTGCATTCTGTTAAGGGACCTGCCCCACGGCCCCCTTTGACAAGTGCTTGGCTCGTCCTGTCCACTCGCTTTCCCCCTTCCACACACACCCCCCCAAAACCAACCCACCGTCTGTTTGCGCGTCTTACTTCTCTCGGCCACGACCTAAATCTCGTCCCTCGACCATCGACTGGCAACGACATCGACGACCAAGACGACGACCACGATCACCACGCGTATCTGAAGGTCACCTCTTTGCCGACCATCACGTCCTCCTCTCTTCCGCATCCTCCCCATCGGTACACATCTCATCCACCACCATGTCTGTCGCCGACGAGAAGACACGGGTCTCTGGCGATGTGCCGCGCGCCGAGGGCCCCATCCTCCCAACCAACAATGCCCAAGCCGAGAAGTTGCAACAGAAGGCTCAGTCCAACGCCATTCACCCTGCCCTCTACGTCATGTGAGTATCTCGAGCAAACACTGCGAGAACAAAAAGCCACAGTGCCACGGTGATGAACAATGGCTGACGATGCAACGCCTGCAGTGTCTGGATCTCCCTCTCGTCCTCCGTCATTCTCTTCAACAAATGGATCCTCGATACCCTCAACTTCCGTGAGCCTCTTCCCTCCACAGCATGCCCTTCATCGCCAGCAAGAATTGATCTAACGCAAGAAACCCCCCTCCAGGCTACCCGGTCATCCTGACCACCTACCACCTTTCTTTCGCTACCCTCATGACCCAGATCCTCGCTCGATGGACTCACCTCCTTGACGGCCGCAAGACGGTCAAGATGACCGGCCGTGTCTACGTGCGGGCTATTGTCCCCATCGGCCTCTTCTTCAGCTTGAGTTTGATCTGCGGCAACCTGACCTACCTGTACCTCTCTGTTGCCTTCATCCAGATGCTCAAGGTAAGACTTTTTCCACTTGAAGAGGCAATCGACCATCCTTGTCTGAGATCTTATCTAATTGTTTTTGATCGATAGGCTACCACTCCCGTCGCTGTCCTCCTCGCCGGTTGGTCGCTCGGCGTGTCTACGCCCAACATGAAGGTCTTCCTCAATGTGTCCGTCATCGTTGTGGGTGTGATCATTGCTTCGATTGGCGAGATTGAGTTTGTCTGGGTCGGTGTCATCTTCCAGATCGGCGGTGTCATCTTTGAGGCTCTGCGTCTGACCATGGTGCAACGCCTTCTGAGCTCGGCCGACTACAAGATGGACCCCCTGGTCTCTCTGTACTACTTCGCGCCCATCTGCGCCGCCATGAACCTTGCTGTTGCGCTCGTTTGGGAGATTCCTCGCTGCTCCATGGCCGAGGTCTACCACGTCGGCCTCAGCACCTTCTTCCTCAACGGCATGTGTGCGTTCCTCCTGAACGTCTCTGTCGTTTTCCTGGTATGTCTTCCCCGTGCGCGTCACGTACCTGTTCATGTCGACGCTAACAATGGCGACACAGATTGGCAAGACCTCTTCCCTGGTGCTCACCCTCTGCGGTGTGCTCAAGGACGTCATGCTCGTCGCTGCTTCCATGATGATCTGGGGCACCAAGGTCTCCGCCCTGCAGTTCTTCGGCTACACCATCGCCCTCGGCGGCATGGTCTTTTACAAGCTCGGTTACGAGCAGCTCCGTGGCTACATTGGCGAGGGTTCCCGCCAGTGGGCCGAGTTTGGCCAGCGCAAGCCCGTTCTTCGAAAGCTGGCCGTCCTCATCATGTCGGTCTTCACGTTTATCTGGCTCCTCAGCCAGGTCGCGCCGACCTACGCCCCCGAGTACGACCCTCACAAGCTTGTCAACGGCATGCACAGCGTTAGTGATCGTCTGGGCTCCGACAGGCTGTAAAAAGTGGTCTACCGGCTAGGCAACATGACTTTCCCCACCTAATGAGTACTCCTCTGCCGAGTCGTGAGGCCAGCTCGGCGAGGGCTCTTTTTCTATTTCTTCCCCTTTTTTTTCCTCTTCTTTGTATTTCGGTACGAGGCTGCGTCGGATCGCCTCTACCGCGCAGCCCGCCGCGGGATGGAAACAACTACGGAAGGCAGCCTTGAAAATGTCTCGTTGGCCTCCTCCCAATCTTTCAATATAAAAATCCCCCAATACCCCGTTTTTTCCTTCTGCAAGGACCAATCCCCCCCCCTTTTATTCTTCCTCAGCACGCAGCTTCTTCCTTCTGCCCCACGGGACAACTGGTCTATTCTTTGCCAGACTCCTTGAGGAGGGCGGAGGAGGGGACTGAAAAGACGAAGGAGACGGGGCGGGACGGTCCAATGTACGAATGGCTTCTTACCTTTGGGAGGTGTAAAGGGGTGGCGGCGGCGGCGCGCGTTTGTGTACAGCTACCAGGTGAAGTGGGAGAAGATGCGCGGAAACGGAGCAAGAGCAATGGCGCAGAGCGCATCAGGGAACCCCGGTCGCATGGCTTCTTCTTTTTTTTTTCTGCGCACGAAGGAGTCTAATTTGATGTACTTTAGACGGCGTGAGGATAGACATGCATGTATGCAAATGTTATGAATACTTTCAAATCTGCGGTTCTTCATTTCGACCTCAATGTCGATGTAGTGATGTTGATCTGGCCGTTTTACAACTTGGTGCAGCAGCTTTCTGCGAGATGTGGCCGAGCTCGCTGGAAGTCGATGATGGGGCCACCTGGCGGAACCTCAAACGACGTGCGCAAAGCGTCAATGATGTGAGTCTATCTATCCTGGTCCCTTTTCTGGCTTGAACGGCATCTCTGTTGCATTCGCTTCAAGGAATCAACTTGTCATGCTGTCGCAACATCGCAGGAAGTATTGGGGATTCTCTGAAAACATTGATGGCCAGCTTGTCGATTTGTCAAGCTTGCCGGCTGCTTCTCCATCCAGCATCCGGTGCACGCAGCCAGAACCCGCCCAGAGTAGACACGTAAGAATGACTGTCGTCCTCAGATTTGTTACAGGCTCCCCTTGAGGCTACAAACCCGCCATGTAACCGCCCTGACAAGATCCTCAGGACTGTTTTGTGCGAACCTGGCCGACGTGGATTGAACGAGGGTAAACAAAGCTATGTGTTCTCATATCACCCAGGGCCGACAGTGCCAGGTCCCAGGCGACATTCGCCGACACGTTTGTCACATTGCGGCATAGCACCACGCACGGCACGGCAGAAGCGACAGTCAATGGGTTCACATAGACTCTCGAACACGCTACAAATGCAAGACGGCATCCCGGCCACTGCCGCGTGGGATTACACGGGGCAGCCGGCGCGTCCCCCAACAGCAGCCGCGCGCCCACGCCCCCCCTTTTTCCATCCCCATCGTTTTGCTCCCCCCCGCCGTTGGTGGTGTCTTTCGTTCCTCGTTCCCCGAGGTCTGGATAGTGAAAGAAGAAAACGGCCGTCGCTGCATCATCTGTGTCCCGGTCACGTCACCAAATGCAATTTTAATGCGTTCCGACAAACAATAAGGGAGGTTGTCATCAGGTCTTTGATTTGGTTCGTGTGGGAGGTCCTTAACCGAGGATCTCGAATGCCAATTGAGTGATGCTCTTCACAAGCCATACCAACTCCCCAGCCGAGTGACGTGCGCAGAAACGGGTTCCCTTTTTTCCTTTAAAACTCTGTTGTGGCGTGTTAGTCAGTACATCTGGGATGCGTGTGTGCGTCGTGAGAGGGTCATGACATACTCAGAGGAGTGAAGAACCACCGGTTCTTGCCGCTCGTGTAACGCTCCTCCAGAACCTTCTTCACAGTCTTCTTGGAGTCCTCACGCTGGCTGGGCTCCTTGAAGGTGTCGTTGGAGACGGTGCCCTTGAGGCCCTCAAGCTCGAGGGTGTAACGGGTGGGCATGAGGTGGTTGTAGTTGACGAGCTTGACGAAGGGCTTGATCTTGGAGCGCTTCTCCTGGCGCGTCTTGGACATGCGGCGGGTGATCTTGGAGGGGTAGCGCTCGATGCCGGCGACGAGGGCGTGGCCGAAGGGGTGGGCCTTGTTGCCGCTGTCGACAGGCTGGATGATCACAACCTGGAAAACGGGCGCGTGTTAGCGAAATCTCTTCTGTGCATGTGTGTGCGTGTTTTCGAGTTCATGCTGCATTGCCGCTTTCTGTCCCGAGTTGCTTCCTGGTCCGATTGATGGTTCTTTTTTTTCCCCTTGCTACCGTGTCTCTCTCTTTTTCATCGGCGTGCCGGTGTCGTGCTCGGGCTCGCGATCCTCTTCCTCCTTATCCTCGGGACTCCCATCAATTTTCCATCGGCCCCCTCTTCCCACCAACCAGGAAACAACGTGGACTCGGTGCGCAGAATTCGTGGGATCGTACCTTCTTGCCGGCATAGCGACCGTGGGTGATGATGGCGACGCGGCCGACCTTGAGGAACTTCATTGTGAACCGGGGGGTGTCGGGTATCTGGACGGTGTGGTGAGGGAGTTCGTCGGTCACTGGGCGCTGGTCTTCTTCAGAGAGAAAAGTTTCTGGAAATGCGTTGGGGCTGTGGGTTAGCCTAGCCCACTGCACACTGCAAGCGAGGGGACCTAAGCACGTGATTTGAAAGGTTAGTTGTGGGCGGGATTCTGTGGGATGAGTCACGTGCTGACACTTCTTGGGTGGGTCTAGGGTGCAGCACTCGACCAGTCGATGAGCGGGTCAAGCTCGAGGAGGAGCACTGACCAACGCGACTGCCGGCCTCGGATTATCTCGTCTGCTTGCTTGCATCTCATCCGCCGAACATCGCGAGAGCTCTCTATCGACTTGTTCCGACCATCTGTCTGTTCAACCTCGGAAGCCCCACCCGCTACTCTGACCATCATCTGGGTTCGACGCGACCAAATCGGCACCATCACCATGCCTGCTCCTACATACATCATCTCCAGGGTGGCCGATCCCATCTTCGCTCTCGCCATTGGTCTCGGCGCTGCCGTGACAAGGATCAACCGCGAAGAGAAGGACAAGGGAAGGTCGACTCAGGAGACCATTGGGATTGCCAAAAGGTGGGCGTCTACATGATGTATTGCGCAAAGTGCCTAGCTTTATGGCTAACGTTGGCAGACGTGTGAACAACTTCATGGCGTCTCTGTGACCAATCCACATCCCACTACAGACACTGCTGGCGCCAGCGCCTCCGTCGATACATGAAGAGCAGCTCCATGCCGACCTCACATAGCAACTAGCGACAGATACCCAATCAATTTCCATAATCCGGCCCGTACTCCTTCTTCATCGCCTCGCGCACCATCTGCCCGCACAGCTTAGCTGTCGGGTTCGTGCTGACTGCCAGGCCCTTGGCAATCTCATTGCCGAGCCTGCCACCCATGGCAAAGTCCCGAGAAGCCGCCTCTTCAAAGTCAATCTTGGCCCAGTTAGACTCTTCTCTGTCTTGAGCCACTGCCACGCGACCCTCTCCGATGAGCTTGGATGTCGTATGGTAAATGGCTGCACGCTGCGTGTACGCGAGAGACAGCGTCTTGGCCGACTGCGGCGACATGGCACCAAAGGCCAGCTTGGGAGTCAGCAGACTAACCGATGTCTCGGTGTCGCTGAGCGCGGTGGCCGCCGCCCGGGCCCTCTCGTCTGGGCTGGGCTCGCGTACCAGACGCTGCGCATCCTCAGCATTGTCGAGGAGCATGGTGTCACCGTAAAGCCGCCTCAGAGCTTGCGTCCGGTTGTTGCGCGCGCTGGCATAACTGGGGTACTCGGAGACGAAGTCGTCAAGCTTGGAAAGCAAGCTTTTGTACTCCTCGACTGGCTCGGCGATGGTCTTGGGCTTGAGTCCTGCCAATTGAAGCTCGAGCTGTTGCATCGACAAGATAATCTCGCGCTCTATCTGGATGACTCGCTCGTAGACGGCGCTGTCAGTGATGTGGGGGTCGCGTGGCAGCGACTGGTCCAACATGACAATAGCTGCGGGGTCGAAGTCGGGATCCTTGATCTTCTCCAATACGTTGAGGTCATTGCGACTGAGAGATACTTCGGCCATGGCAGCGACGCGATTGGATCAAGTGTTACGTGAATGGTCGAGGGAGCGGCTTAGCTCTTCGTTGGAACAAGTTGTTCCGAGAGGAGGCTGTCAAAGTTGGTACCCGAGACTCGTATGCTTTTCGTCAAATGGCATCAACACAACCTGCATCGATGGATCTTTATTCAAGAAAGCTTCGGGCTTTCAAGGTCGGATTCGCAATACAACGGCGGGGCACGATTGTCAGCGGACGCCAATTCCGCAGGCTGACGGCTGCGGAAGGATGGCTAAGGGGGCCAGCTTCGGGTACCAGGAGCGGTATAAGAACATACAGATGACCAGCCACCCGTCAACCTCTCACAATGCACGTCGCCATCGAATCTCTCCAGGACAGCCGCATGACGACCTCTGAGGGTGTGGGGCGTCTCGAAGCATATCTTAGGCCGGCGCCCGTCGCACCCGGCAAGGCGCGGCTTAGCTCGGCTCACGGCGGGCGGCCGAGCTGGATCGGCCCCTTTCCGCCCACGGCCTATGCCTCGACGGCCTTGCGTGTCAAACGGTGCCCAGCGTACAACCGCTCCCTTCAACAGCCGCCGCCAACCTCTCCTTCTCCTTTCGGCACCCACTGTCGTGCGAAAACAGGCAGAGAGGGCTCGTCATGGGAGCCGCAAAGCCTGGTAATCCGCTGCTGGACATTGGTGAGGTGCGGCAACCCCGCTTCCCTCACACGGCTTATGGACCACACGGACCAGTGTCAGATTACTCTAGGTGTGCGTGTGTTTCCGTTCTCTTCGGCCCAGCATCTGATGGACCTGACCAGGCGGTCTCAGGGGAGGGTGGATTACGAAGATACTTAAGGAAGTGGTGGTACTTTTGTGACCGTACGAAACGTTGGAATCCTCTTGGTATCTACCCTTCTTCACCATCAATCAATTTCATCCCTCGGTCTCTCCCCCCCTAGACTTAACAACGTTGTCAAACGCCCCTTGAATCCATTATATCGAATCACCCCCGATACCTTCTGAGTGTCAATGTCCCCTTCTGCCATCACAGACTCGCCCCCACAGTCCGCCGCCTATCCGGCGGCGCCGCCAACTACAGCAACCCTCAGCGATGGCCTCGCCGTCCAGCAACCTCTTCCCCAGTTCCGCGGCTATGACCACATAACTTGGTGGGTTGGCAACGCCAAACAGGCTGCCTCGTATTACAATAACCTCTTCGGTTTCCGTACCGTCGCCTACAAGGGTCTCGAGACGGGCAGCCGCTACATTGCGTCGTACGTCGTCCAGAACGAGGACGTCCGCTTTGTCTTCACCTCGCCGATCCGCTCAGGCGTCCACCTCCCCGCCGACGAGCCCATCAACAAGACCGACCGCGCTCTCCTCGCCGAGATCCACGCGCACCTCGAAAAGCATGGCGACGCCGTTAAGGACGTCGCCTTTGAGGTCGACGATGTGAAGGCCGTCTACACCACCGCTGTGGCCGCCGGCGCCGTGTCGGTCCAGGAGCCTGGCCTCCTGCATGACGAGACACACGGCGACGTCGCCACGGCCGTCATCCGCACCTACGGAGACACGACGCACACGCTCATCTCGCGTGCCGCCGGCTCCTACAACGGACCCTTCCTCCCCGGGTTCCGCGCCGCGGCCCCCCCGCCGTCCTCGGTGCCCCTGCCGACGGTGCCTCTGAAGCGCATCGACCACTGCGTCGGCAACCAGTCGTGGAACGAGATGGTGGCAGCCTGCGCCTTCTACGAGCGCTGCCTCGCCTTCCACCGCTTCTGGTCGGTCGACGACTCGCAGATCAGCACCGAGTTCTCGGCCCTCAACAGCATCGTCATGGCGTCGCCCAACAACATGGTCAAGATGCCCATCAACGAGCCGGCCCCCGGCAAGAAGCGCTCCCAGATTGAGGAGTACGTCCTCTTCAACGCCGGCGCCGGCGTCCAGCACATTGCCCTGCTTACCAAGGACATCATCGCCACCGTCTCGGCCATGCGCGCCCGCGGCGTCGAGTTCATCAAGGTCCCCGCCACCTACTACGAGACGCTGCGCCGCCGCCTCAAGTCGGACAAGCGCCGCTGGGAGCTGCAGGAGGACCTCGACGTCCTCGAGGGCCTCAGCATCCTCATCGACTACGACGAGGGCGGCTACCTGCTCCAGCTCTTCACCAAGCCCCTCATGGACCGCCCCACCGTCTTCATTGAGATTATTCAGCGCAACGAGTTTGACGGCTTTGGCGCTGGCAACTTCAAGAGCCTGTTTGAGGCTATTGAGCGGGAGCAGGCTGAGCGCGGCAACCTGTGAGCTGGTGCCGGGACAGGGAGTTGAAGGCGAAAAAGGGGGGGACGTGTTCTCTGGAAGAGGAGAACCACGCGTTTATTTTACAAGCACATCGAGCATGTGTGATGGGAGAATATTCATATCATGACCTTATGACCTCGTTTCAGTAGTAGTGGTCTGGTAGCATTGCTCTGAATGAGATAACGCGCCGTTTCGTTTTGATTTACAACATGTTTGTTGCCGGGCCCCCAAAGGAAACATTCGCACCTGAACGCCGCATCATGTTTGTCCCCAAGTGATTCGCCATGGCGAAAGTAAAAAAAAATCCATGTCCCCCCCCCATCTCCTTGCAAGGGCAGCCGATTCAGCTCGCCCGGTACTCCGTTTCGCCCTGCAGATGCTCCAGAGCTCCCACGCTTCCTTGCGGCTAAAGCAGTCCCGTACTGACAGCGTGCCTCTTCCTCCCTCACCTCCCTGCCTTGGCCTGGCAAGACCGTGCCGTTCTTGTGCCACGTTTCGTCGCTTTGAGAATGAAACCCCCTCAGCTGTCGACCTCCATCGCCCCGTTCGTGCCGTTCTCTCCGTTCGTGACAGCGCCCCGCGCGTCGCTCTGACAGCCGGGGCAGTTGTGTATGACCTCGTGCGCAAAGACGTCGCAGTCGATGCAGAAGTGGTTGCCGCACACCTGGCACGCGTAGCGACTGCTCTCGCTGACGCCCTTTTGCTTCGGCGCCGACGCCGCCTCCTCGTCGCCGGCGTCGCCTCGCCTCCTGCCGTCGGTGCCGTTGGTCCGGTGGCCCCGCCGCTGGGCCGGGGGGTCGGGAAAGGGCGCGAGGCACGAGTAGCAGGCGCGCGAGGCGGCGGCGCGGGCCCAGGGGACCTCGACCCAGTTGCGCAGCGGGAAGAGGTGGTGGTAGGAGCGGGCGAGGTGGGTGGAGAGGATGAGGGTCAGGCCGCAGGCGGGACACTCGGCGGGCAGGCGGCAGACGCGGGTGCCGCAGCGGGTGCAGAGGTAGCCCTCGCGGACGGGCGTGTTGTGGCAGGCGCAGTAGGCGGTCGTGTCGGCGGGGGCGAGGGTGCGCGAGGGGAAGCCCATCATGAGGAGCGAGGCCGTGCTCTGGGCCTGGGTGCGGGTCACGGGCGGCGTCGTCGTGCGGAGGAGCAGCTCGCGGTAGTGCATCTCGTCGAGGGCGATGGTGTACTGCGTCGCGTCGCCGGCGTTGGTCTTGCGGCAGAGCTCCTCGCAGATGGCGACCTGGGCCGCGAGCCCGACGATCGACACGCGTATCCTGTCGGTGAGGAGGTTCGCGATCGTGTCGTGAATGTCGCCGGGGTCGCTCGACAGCAGGGCGCCGTAGACGACGAGCACCTCTCTCGTGCCGTGGCTCGGCGCGTGGCTGTACAGGGCCTGTTAGAGAAGGATCCCAAACCAGAGCTCATCACTGTGTCCTTCGCCGACCTTGGTGGACAGACGTCCCAGACACAGGCGGGACGCAGACTTACAACAGGGCACCACGACACATCTCGAGCGCATTCTGCAGACTCGGGCTCCCCTGCGGGTCAATCTCGGCCCACTTGTTGATGGCCTCGACATGCTCGACGGGGTTGCCGCCCATCTCGCTGACGCGAACGGCGACGCCGTCGCGCATGCCGACGATGCCCATCTGCGAGATGGGGTTCTGCTCAAAGTACTCCTTGACAAACTCGCGGGCGAGGCGCCACGTGAGCCGCAGCCGCGTGGGCAGCAGGTCCTTCTCGGCCATGGCGAAGCTCATGTCGAGCACGAGCACGAGGTGCCGGATGATGCCGCGCTGCAGCGGCGTCGTGTCGCGCAGCAGACGCCGCCGCTTCTCGGCCTCGGCCCGCCCCTCGACGTCGAGGCTGCCGTCGGCGCCCTCCTCGACCGTCTCCCACGACCGCTTGACGACCTCCCATGCCGCCGCCTTGCCGGCCTTTTTCTTCTTGCGCGCCTCCTTGCCGCCGCCGGCCGGCCGCGAGGGTCTGTGGCGGTCGTCTTCGGACTCGACAAAGTCGCCGTCGGAGTCGGACATGGTGGCCCGGGGGTGGGGACAAGCGAGCGTTGAGGTATGCTGTCGGCAAGGGAGGAAGGACGAGGCAGATCGAGGTGTCGAATGGGGGGGTGGCAGAAGAACAAGACGGTCGTCAAGTTGGGGATTGCTTTGCGGAGGAAGGACCAAAGTGGAAGATCGAAGGTTGGAAATGTGCAGATGTGGGTGCATACAAGATGGGACGAGGCTGCAAGTGGTTGATCATCGATTCACAGCCTTGTGCAGGGGCCTCTGAGAACGCTGCCAATCAGCGCCATCGTACTATTTCATGCACCGATATCTCTGAGCGCAACCAACCTTTATTGTAGTGTGGCGATCTGCTGATGAGCGACTTTTTCCAGCCTCGGACATGTCTTCTTCTGCCTTCCGCCATGGGAGAGGGGGATTGAGGGCAAGTGGCCACTGCCAACAAGATCCTTATCAGGTCATCATCATTCCACAGCCAGCACTTCCAGGTTACGACTCGTCAGCTCAGCAAACACAGGACGCACTGTACGCCAATGAAGGATATGTAACTACTGACTCCTATGTATTATACGCTTCTCTCCGGGGTATAAAGTGCCAACTAAACTACGACTACGAGCCATCCCTCGACTTCATGCTCTACACCTCAAAGCCGAGCCGCGTACACCACCTTGCCACACACATCCATGTCCAAAAACCCACCCACTTTCCTCTCTCCGGTTCCCGTCTCGTTTTCCAATAACCAAAACTCGTCGATCGCGGCCCATGGCAGGCGGACGCGACGACCTGCCCCCGACAGCCCCCATCGCCTCGAAGCGTATTCCGGCCTGGGTTGGGGCGTCTCCGGCTGTATTAGAAGTACTGCCATGTGTCATATAGGAACTCTGCTTCGTTCCTTTGTTGCTCGTGAAAAACGTTGCTGTGTTTCGTGCGATCGGTTCGTTGCCGTCGTTGCGAAGAAATGAATGAGTGTGTCGAAAAATAGACAATGTCCGCCTGGCGATCCTGAAACTCCGTTTCCGTAACGTCGTGGACGGTCGTTCCCGTTTTCTGGGGGCGACCTTCGAAAGGGACGTGATTTTGTGTACATGACCAAACTGATTTGGTTGTGGTCTTGCCTCGGTGCGCTGCTTCTCAATGCAGCATCAGCCGCAGCAGCTTCGTCTTTCAACAGGGCAGCGATGGAGCCGACCCCTTCACATCGCTGCCTGCTTGCTGACCCTCCTGCGAACATTCACCAGTCCCCGTCTAAGGGTATGCGGTGCCAACTTGCATCGGCCAGTCGTCCTCCGTGATGCTCGACCAGAAGATCCATACCATGACGACGGACAGAAGGGTGAAGAGCGTCTGGAACAGCGCGCCGTCAATGGCGCCGTTGGTGCCGTCACAAATGTGCGAGCTGACGACGTAGTTGAAGACCTGGCCAAGAGCAAAGAGGACGAGAGCGGCGGTCAAATAAATCATGGGCCTCGTCTCGCCGAGGATGCGGAGGACGAGGACGGCCTCGAGGACGAAGAAGGCGACGAGGAAGATGAGCGGGACCAGCTGGTACAGGACGTAGAGGGCGATGTGACGGTTCGGTGGTGAGTTGTAGCTGTCGTTCCAGTAGCCCGTCCACTTGAAACCAGTATCGAGGGTGATGTACAGAGTGCCGCCGAAGAGGAGGGCCGCTGACAGCACCATGAGACCGAGAGAAAGTGGCGTGCCGTCATCCACAATCTGGAAGCCGACGAGGGCGTTGAGCATGAGAATCCAGGTCGAGGCAATGATCAAGCCAATGTGGATGCCAGTGAAAGCCTGAGAGGGGTCAGCGGTGGGGTCCGGACCAAGTGGACTCAAGATGGCAACGTACAATGCGGACGCCGTCGGGCAGGGGAAACTCTCCAACCGTGAAGATCTCTGCGAGCGAGATAAGGATGTAGGTAGCGAGGAATATTTGCATTTCCCTGGCGCTTCGAGTCAGTCTCATGTCGCAGCAACATGGCCGTGCCATCAGGGCTATGCGTACCTTCGCCCAACAGCTGCCTTCTTCCTCTCCGACTTGAACAAAAGGAAGGCCGAGGTCGCCATGGCGAGGGCGGCGATGATGATGGATCCGAGGTTGCCTAGCCTGCGATCCCCTCCGACAGAGATGCCGCGGAGCTCACATCCGCCCCATGGGCCAGACTGGTCGTGCGCGTCGGACAAGACATTGCAAACGGGTAACGTCGAGTCCCGGCAGAAGTTCTAGGAGGCCGTGTTAGCGGGTTGACAACCAACGAACGAGGACCTAGGTGGGACGTACGTGAAAGTTGCCAAATTGTGTGGAGCCCATTGTCAATGGTCGTGAGGGCGACGAAGGTATCGCCGTGTGCCTTGAGGAGTGATAGTCAAGGTTTTCCGGTGGTTTGCGCGCGCGAGCGGGCTGCCAGGCGTGGTCGTGACAGAGGGTGTTTCAGTTTGCTGCTCCAAGGACGGCCGCCCGATGGCCCTGGCGATTACAGGCTGGAATGCAGCGAGGATGGGGCCGTGGGTTTATCTACTCTGCTTCTTTTTTTTTTGCCTTTTTTGCTTTTTCGCTTCTTTGTCTGCCCGATTTCGATGCACGTCAAGATCGGAATGCAAGACGCTTCTGGCGTGTTGGATTTGCGGTGAAGGCGCAGTGGAGGTGGTTGGTCTCAATGGTGGATCAATCGTAGGTTCGGATGCGGGCCTCCGTACGACGTGCAACTCGGAGAAGGCGTTGGAGGGGGGAATGTGCTGTGTTGTCTGGGCGGAGCAAAAGACGATGGACAAGTGTGCCCGGGAGAGGATCGTCGAGTTCGCTGCTCGATTGATGTGGGAGAGACGTGGTAGAAGAGCGGTGGGGAGGGAAGGTAGGTCGAGGGAAGTGAAGAGAGTTGGAAAGGCCGGGTCGCGAGAAAGCAAGCTGAAGCTGGCGATGGCTGTTGTTACGGTGACAGGCAAGACCAGACCAGAAACGGCGGGCGTGGGACGGGGCAGAACAGAAGG